TTTCCTTGAATACTTATTTATAATCCAGCACCATCTTAATGTTGGAGGATATTCTTATTAATAAAATAACTTTTACCTATAAAAAACCCTATGGGTCGTTGGCTTGTTGGATAAGGGATAACAATCTCGGGAGAAAGTACGGGATTGTTTTATCTCGTGTTTGGTTGAATTTTTTATTCCGGAATTAACAATCCAGGGATTTATATCATAATTGTGGTATTTTTTATACCACATGCAATGTGGGTAACAATCCGGGGATTACTATTCCCAGATTAAACACCAAAATAACAAAGATGCTTTCTCCAAAACTCTCCTCCCAAAGGCCTTTAAAAAAGTCAAGGATGAAATCAGAAATAAAAGTTTTTCTCAATTTATCTAGTGTAAAACTAAACACATGTTTTATATTATACCCTATATATCCATTTCTAGTCCAATGAACTAAATGGGTATCTTAAGAAGTATCTTTACTAAAAAATCATGTTGTTATTTAATTCGTGTATTATGATCCTGGTATAACTTGTTCACCAATCAAATGACCACCGGTTTGTTATCATATTGAATGTCTTGCTTTATTTTTGTAAATGATTTTTAAGGTTGTATAGGCTAATAGCTTGCTAAGTTAATCTGGATTACACTACCAATAGTTAGTCAATGCGGGTAATATATTACTCTTTAGTTTTATACCAGTTTCCTTAGTATGTTTCTTATTAGTGTTGTTTCCTTTTCCACCGGTAGCTTTTGAAGTTTCGTTTTTTTTGTTTGCCCTTTTACCTTTTCGTGGGTTGCGCTTTATGTGAAGAACACTTTCCAATCTTTGACTCCTATCATATATGCATTTTTTGTTATGAGTTGGTTGTTTGAACGAGCTATCTATATATATATGTGTGTGTGTGTGTGTGTGTGTGTGTGTGTGTGTGTGTGTGTAAGTACTTCAAACATTCAATTAATGGATGCCTATTGCTGCCTTATCAAAAAAGAAAATGCTTATTACTGCTCTGTTCCATATTTTATCTCTCGAATAGGATGATTCAGTTCCCTACTCGGAATGCTTATGACGCTTCACTAAGGGCAGTTGTTCGGACGAGTCGCATGTTCAGAATGGAGAGGGTACTGTTTCGAACATACATCTGGTTGATTATTGATCTCTGGAGGTTTGCATGCAGAATCATCATTTCTTTACCTTTCTGATTGTAGGCTGATCGTCAGCAGTGGGACACTTTGCCACACTATGATGGAAAAACTGTAAGTGGGTCTTTGGTGTTAACTGTCTTCATCGTTCTTTCTGTTTGTCTTTTTCTTTTTTGGCGTGTAGGAGTGTGGTAGATGGTGGTGGAAAGGCTGATAACAATAATAAAAACCTCATACTAACTAAGAGGAAAAAAACACAAGGTGATTTCTTCTCATCTGCCTAACCATTTGCGAGTGGAGTTACTTAGTACCTATGCTGGTGGAAAGTAACAAGGACCTAGTGGAGTAGTCGAGGTGGGCCCAAGCTGTTCCACACAGTCGGAAACTACTGTAATTAAATATATACCAATGAACTATTCTTTCTTTCTGAATGCAATGAGATTGATGATAAATTAAATATTGCTATTCGATTCATTCATTTCTAATAGTGATACAAAAGGTGTTTGAAGCAAAGAATCTATTGATGATTGTCGGCTTTTTCAGATTTTATTGCAAGGGATCCCACGGAATGCACTGGCCGATGATGTGGAACATTTTCTTTCGGGTTGTCAGTATGATGGATCATCAATCCAAATATTCGCCAGACAACAGCGAGGTTTTGATAGGTATAGAAGCTTTACCACTCACATCTCGCTGGCTCTTTTAACTGTGATGTGTTCTCTGTTCCTTATAAGATGGAGTTTTGGTTTATTTGTTGCAGACCACCAGCTAGAGTGGCCCTTGTGCAGTTCCCTTCGCAGGCTTTAGCCGCACACGCATTTATTACGAAGAACAGAGGCTTCGTTCTTAATAACCAAATTGCTGTTAGACTTCTTCAGTAATCTCCTCCATCTTCAAAATAATCTACTTTCCATTTCCCTGTGAGCTAGATTAGGATGTGAGATGACAAATAGAAATGTTCTGATCATCTGCCTGCATGTCCAGGCTTCAATCCTCTTTTAAATGAGAAATTTTTATGTTCATTTACTATGGAGAAAGCTGAGATGAAAATCGAAATGCTAGTCTTATCTATACTTTGTTTTAAATAACATAAATATGGGAACACTGTCCTTTCAAATGAGGGCTTCTATTTTATTTTTTAGTGGGCTTCTGCTGATCAAGCTGTGATCTGATCTATTTGTGCCAAATACGTTTGCAGTGAAGGCACATTGTAAGTTTCAAATTCAGGTTTCATCTTTGTATGCAAAGCCAAAACACAATGTTGAATTCAGGATCTTGATATTGTGGATTCTGAGTTATGAGAGTGTGGTGTGTGGTGAGTGGGAAATAGGGTGGGTTGAGAAAGAGTAGTTTTGGAAAATTTCCCTCCTTTTGGCAAGGATGTGGGTGTATGAGGAAAATATTTTTTAAAATATTTAAGCCAACCAAATATAGAAAAATTAAAATTTTCCGAATACTTGGAATTGGCAACATAAAATATACGAAAAAGGGTCAAACTACCTTCGAACTATAGGCTTAGGGTCAAATATACCTTCCGTCCACCGTGCTAAATTGCCCCAGTTGAGGAGGCCGATCACGAACGCTACAGGTGTGGGAGCGATCCTGGTCAGGGAAGGCTAAGACGGCGCCCCACCATTTTCTTTTCAGCTCAAGTCCCACCCTTATGACTAACGTCCATTTCCAACAAAAAAAAAAGAAAGAAAGATTTATTTAATAATGATATGGCAGTTTCTTATTCGTCGAATTTAAAACACTTGTCCCCATTAAAACGACCCGCCCATATGTACCGTTTTCAGAATAACCCGTCCCGAACCAAAAATCTAACAGAAAAAAAGGAACCCCCACCCCCACGGGACTCTTCTTCTTTCTTTTCTAAGTGCCTTTTCTTCAATTTAGGGCTCTTCAAAGAAAGAAGAATCGTGTCAATGGCTGCAATAATTTTTTTAGCTTATTCCACAAGAAAATCAGTTCAAATATGTAGAGAACTACAACTTTTGGACATAAACAAACATCCACAAATCACTAAATACCCTTTAAAATTTCAGATCTGAAAATTTTGACTAGCTTCAACAACGGACAACTTTATTCCTTGCATTTTCGAGCAACCAAGACAGTAGATAAACTTGACTTTAGCTTCAAATAATAATAATCAGTAGGTTCCAAGCAACAATCTCGACTTTCAAAACCAAACTCTCTCAACAACTTTGACAATTTCAAGCCACGAATTTAGCTCACCAAAGATCCTAATCAGTAGAGTGATCAAGGAAAGTTTTAAGCACTAAAACTCTTCAATTCAGCAAAGGATCATCCTTTCTCAATTCCACCAGTGAATCCAGTTGTATTTTCAAATGCTCATACCAATGAAATTCGTAAACTCAGAAACAAAGCATGAACTCAAGTGTATTTGATCAAATAGTGATACTATATTTTATTTTTTTAATTTTTGTTTTGCTTTTGATTTGGTAATAAAAAATTAGGCACTTCAGGTGGGTTAGTGCAGTTTGGGGCCAGAGGCGGATCTAGGATTTTTATAACATGGGTGCACCACCAAAAAAAGAGAAAAAATGAACTATTAAGTGGGATTTGATTCCTGGTCCTCTAGGTAAATAACTCAACATTCAACCTAGTGAACCATTTAGCCTTTTTGGAGCATGGGTGCCAGCAGATAATACTAGACCAATTCTAAAAATTATATACATAAAATACTTAGTTTACCGGAAAGACCATGGGTTCATGTGCCCTATGTATTTGTCTACAAATCCGCCCATGTTTGGGGAGGGTTAGTCCGAAAATGGGCACATATGGATGGGTCTTTTTAATAGGAACATGTGTTTTAAATTCAGCCAATGAGAAGCTGCCACATCATTATTAAATATCTTTTTTTGGTGGAAATGGTTGTTAGTCCAAAGCGTAGGCTTGAGCCGAAAAGAAAACGTCGGGGGCAATTTTAGCGCAATAGGTGGATGGAGGATATATTTAGCCCTAAACCTATAATTCAGGGGCAGCTTTGATCTTTTTCCGTTAAATATATGCTATTTAGAAGATGGTTCTAGTAAAGATCTACGAGAAATTTGTCTTAAAATCTTTAAATTCGTTCTTCGTATCTCGATGTTGTCCCGTTTCTACGTACTACACCTAGCATAAAGTTATATCATGCCTAGTAGTGCATAACATGATATGCATGATAAACTCTTACTGAAGCTTAACAAATTCTACTAATCTTCACTCACTCTCCTTCAGTCCTTTGAACATCTTTAATGACAAGGCTAGTGCAGCATGACGAAGTAATCAACGTAATTTGGAGTGTATTATCAATATAGTTTGCTGATTCAATGAGTACTTCTAACTTGAACCCCCCCACCCCCCACCAAAAACAAAAAAGAAGAAGAAGAAGAAGCAGCAGCAGCAGCATGAATGCTAGAAACCATAAGTGGAGAAAACTTGAGCCATTCTAGGATGAACACACTCCAGTTCACCCTAAAGTCATCAAGAGTATAATTGAAACAACATAAGAAAGCATAAAAAAGCACATAACGAGATGGACAATAAGCAATCATCGCCACCAAGCCAACAGCCTAAAAAGATAAGCATGGCTAAGTAAAATTTCTCCAATGTGAAGACTAGCCAATCGTAACAACTTCATGCACAGTTCAAGTACTTCTTGAATTCACTTATGACTCGTTTATCCCATATTTGGTTGGGAGAAAATTGCGGTATAATTAATCCTGAGATTAGTTATCCCGGGACTGTAATATTTTTTTATCCCATGGAAAGGTGGAATAACTAATCCCGAAATAATTAATCCTAAGATAACTTCTTTCCAACCAAAGAACTCCTAAGTGGAGAGAGAAGGCAAGGAAAGACGATAAAGGGACAGATGAAACAAAATCATGATAAGGGACTATTACATGAAAATGAGGTTTATATAACAATTACATGACATCAGAATTCCATTATCCAAAATTACAAGCCCGTTTTGTGATTCCACAGCTACCAAAAAAGAAAAGTGAATTGTAATTCGTCCCAGTAAACCTACTTATCACTTCAGTAAACTCACAGTGTTAGGCTGACAACTGTATAAAATGGCTGGGCGAGACCAGCCACCAGATCTCAAAATCACAGCTCAAACTCCTCATCCCGAAGGGCCACTGCTGCAGCCTCTTCTTCCTCATCATCAAGAACAAAGTACTCATTCTTCTCCACTGGCCTAAACATGTAAAACATCACCATGTAAAAAGCTAAGCTCACTATTTCCTCTGCAGAATATGCCACCCATTGATACTTATAAGCCGAAATTGTCCTCAAGGCAAAAACCACAATCCTTGTGAAGTACAAGTATCCAATCACCACAATATAAAACTGCCTGAAAAGAGTCAACTTTGCCAAGTTCCTTGCTGCCTTCCCATCAGTTTTGGAAGTCTCCCTCAACGACCTAATCGACCACACAATGGGGAAAATAATAGCACAGCAGCAGATAATATCAACAATCAAAAAGACCTGATTCCAAGTGACCCAATCCTTAATGAAAGGACCTGTTTCTCCAATCACAACGGAAGCCACATTAGCCAAAACCTGAAGCGGAATCACAATCATCAGCACCTTCTTCTCCCTCTCTTGCAAAAAGGGCTTCAAGAACGACCACCCAGTACCGATCAAAACAATAACAGTGAAAAGCAAAACCACACGTATGGACTGGAAAATGTAGAACAACACATCCCATCCGTGTGCAGTACCAGTAACCTTAACATAATGCTTATCCTCAGCAGCGAAAAGCAAATTCAATGCCTTCATTATAACCAAAAGTGCCATAAGCCCATGAATCCTATGCACAGATTTCTTATTCTTCAAACACACAAACACCCAGACGCCGAGAAAGCCAAAATAAGCCAAGAAAAACAAAAAGTACAAAGTGGGCAACTGAGTAAGACCTGTACAAAGAGGGCAAATTTATGATAAGTTGAATATGCAGAGAGAGGGAAAATACAAAGTGCATAACTGAATTATGGTTATTTGACATTTCCACCAAGTGGGTTTCATGTTATCACAATATTTGAATATGACAAGTTATTAAAAGTATTAGTATTACCTTGCATTTGTTATGATGAAATATTCCCGTTGATAATGTTTTATTCAAGAATTCATTTTTTCTGATTATTTGCCAGTGTTTGGTTGGTATTAAAGTAAGTGACATATGCTAATTGTTCTAAAAGTAATACAGGGTATAAGGATAGTGTTTTCATGTTACCTCTGAATACTAAAGGTTAGTAGCAATTGAAACACGTAATATGGAGCCATTTTAGAATATTTCCAATTGTAAAAACAATGACTTTGGAAAAGTCATTTTCCTCTTTTTGATGGAAAACATTTCCCTTGTAAAAAGTGTTTTTTCCACAATTCAAGTAACCAAACAATGGGAAAATCGTTCCATCAAGGAAAATATTTTGTTTTACACAATTCAAGTAACCAAACAATGAAAAATGGTATCATCGAGCAAAATATTTTGCTCTTCCCAATTCAAGGTAACCAAAAACTCGAAAAATAATTTCATCAAGGAAAAGACTTTACTTCCACAACTCAAGCTAAAACAAATGATTTTACAAAGGAAAATATTTTACTGGGAAATATTTTCCCCATATCAAACCAGAAGAACCCTTCCATCAAGGTGATTTCTGCGGGCACTGTTAACCGGTACCTGTGTTGGTGATTGTGAGGTAGCAGGTACCCGGTGCCCAACCTGACCCCAACACCACCGTCATAACTTATGAAAAAACACTTTCACCATCATATTTTGCAGCCATACGATGGAAACTCGATCAAATGCACAGATTACCTATTCTTCAAACACACATACATCTATAAATCCAAAAACACAAAATAACCCAAACAAAAGAAAAAAAATACAACTTGGATAATATATCAGAACAAAATACAAAGTAGGTAATCGAATAAAACCTGCAGAGAGATAATCTTTAACACGGCCATCGAGATTATAAAGCTCAGTTCGTACATCCATAGACACCTTCGATTCAGGTGCACAATTAGCAAAAAACAGAGAGTATTCATTAGGTGAAGTTACAGGGTAAGCTCGATCGAAGGACGAATTAGGCGGAGGCGAAAGATCACGAAAAGTGAAAAGGCGTTGAATGTAATTTGATTCAAGGACACAGAAATTAGGGTTTTGTTGAAGCTCAATTAGGACTTGAATTAAGGATTCTTCAGATAAGAGGAAAAATCCGAGGCGGGAAGCGTCAGGCGATGTTACGGTGGAGATCACAGAGACGGAGGAGACAGAGATTGATGTTTGACCCGTGTGTGTGAACCCGAACCGTTCGAAGAGGATCATGGGCCGGTTATCAGATCGGATTTTGAGTTTTTTTATTTCGCCGGCGGTGAATGAGGAGAGGCAGAGTAGAAGGAGGAGGAGGATGGGTAGTTTCGTCATTTTGAGCGGTGGTGGAATGGAGGCTGCGCTGGTGAGTTTGGTGGCGGATAATGGTGGTGCACGGCGGAGGAGAGATGCGCGGGGAATTTGGTGAAATGAAAGTGGGAAGAAAATGGGGAAAGGAGACCCCTAATGCGTTAGATCTTGGAAATTTGGTGGGATCCAAAACCGAGAGAAGAATTTGTTTTTGGCATTTAAAAAGAAAACGAAGTTACCAACGTAATTTGGAAGAAATTATTTGTATTTATGGGTAATCTAATTTTGGTACATATTGTTGTAATATAATTCTCCCACAAAAAAGATTAATATTCTAGTTCCCTAGTTTACAAAAAGAAAATGTTCATTTTTGTTGTATTTAAAAACTAATAGTACAACTTATTCTTACCGTTTATTATGTAATAATATATATGTGTTGATAGAAAATGATAAAAGTAATGGCGTATTTTTCTGACAATGCTAAGTATATCTAACATGTGATAAAGTAAGAAATTAACCATTGTTCCATTAATATGGAGTAACTATTTACTTGATTTTACCAACATGGTCATTTTTAAATATTCTATACATACAGGATTAACATAAGGCTCACAAATATACATTGATCCTTATTTATGTGATAAAAAAAAACTTGTGTACACGGTCAAAATCAGGTATGCCCGATTTCACGGGCTCGCAGAGTCGCTTCAAGCCCGAGTTCAAGATGGGGCGAGTTCGAGGCCGATGGTCCAAGCCCGAGCCCGATGATAGAGTATAAGGCTCGAAGATCGGAGTACGCGGCGAGCACCGAAGCCGAGTATGACCAACCCCGAGATGATGCCACCATGGGTTTGTTACAGAAGGGCAAGATTCTCGCCACGCCCCCAAGATCATGGCATAAATTCCGGAATAGATTTGTACGAGTTAGTACGAATCCATACTAGGCGGTTAGACAGCTATCCCAATAAGATTCCTTACTGTAAATAGAAATGTACCTTATTTAGGGTCCCTACTATATAAAGGGGACCCAAATCATTTGTAACGACAATCAATCATTGGCAAAAGAACTCTCTTACTTTCTTGCTCATTATTCATGAGAATTGTCTCTTAACTTTATTATCTTTACTTTACTGTTCTTGCTGACCTACCTCGAGGCCATCTAGCTCGAGGTCAAAACTTGCTTAAGCACCGGTTTGATTCAACTTTCTTCTCTAGTTTACACATTTGATTTCTTAGTTATTAATTAGAATTGAACTAAATCACGTATCTTTAAAAACCGCAAACAAGTTTAATTGTTACTCGTATTTTCGAGGTAAACATTTTGGCGCCCACCATGGGGCTAAAGATAATAGTGATTGTTTCTGTACTGATTCTCATAACAGACGTTATTTTCACACTTGTTCTTATCAAGAATTTTTGTTCCCAGGTTAAAACATGTAAAACTCACAAAACGCACCCGTACTCGGCGATGGCGGCCTTGGATTTCATGGTGAAAACAACAATGTAATCGCTCTGGGAGTCGTGTACTACCAATTCACCCTAGGGATGTGCCAAATGTGGAACCAATTGATGTTGGCTCTCACATTACTCTAAATGCGGATTTAGGCGCAGACCCCGGAGGAAGTATACGCAGGGAAGTTCGATCCGGCAGCCAAGGAACGCAGGGTATAGGAGATGGGGGAGTTAGCCTCCAAGTAATATTTGAGATGCTACAAGCTCAACAGGTTGCTATCGCTCAGCTTCAAAGTCATCATAAAACTCCAAGTGTGGTCGAACCAGGAATCACTCGCCGTACTGAGCCGGTGCTAGAAAGATCAAACGATAACGACTCGAGGATTAACCTCACGATTGTGAGGATGCTCGAAGAATATTGAGGATAATGACGAAAAGGTGGAGACGTATAACTCCCGTGTCGAGCAAATACCGGGAGCACCCCCGGTCTTGAAAGGTTTGGATGCCAAGAAACTCGTATAAAAGCAATTCCCTCCGAGTGCGGCTCCGAAGCCTATTCCTAAAAAGTTCAGTATGCCTGATATACCTAAGTACAATAGGACGAGCAATCCTAATGAACACATTACCTCGTACACTTGCGGGATTAATGGAAACGACTTAAATGATGATGAGATCGAGTCGGTTTTGCTGAAAAATTTTGGAGAAACTTTGTCAAAAGGAGCAATGATTTGGTATCACAACTTGCCACCGAATTCTATTGATTCGTTTGCTATGTTAGCAGACGTCTTCGTAAAGGCACACGCCGGAGCCATAAAGGTAGCCACAAGGAAATCGGATGTTTTTAAGATAAGACTGAGGAATGATGAGATACTAAGGGAGTTCGTATGTTCAAATGGAACGAATGGAATTACCACTGGTCTCGGATGATTGGCCGCGCAAGCTTTTACAAAAGGGGTTGAACGAGCGGGTCCGATCGCGTCACGACAGTTGAAGCAAAATCTGATCGAGTATCCAGCTGTGACTTGGTCAGATGTACATAATCGTTACCAATCAAAGATCAGGGTCGAGGACGACCAGCTGGTAGCCCCCTCGGGTTCGGTTCATCCTAATAGATTGGCAGTTAAGTCCCCGAGGGATAGAAACAGGGAACCGAGATCGAATAGGGAATGGTACCAGCCATATGTCGTAGATCGAAGAAACAACGGTTCAGGGCGCAACCCTTCTCGGAATGATCGAAAGCACGACCGAGGACAAAATTCTCGGGGACTTATGAGTAATAATGGTTTTGATAAACATACCGATCCTGCAGAAGCACCTCGGTTATCGGAGTATAATTTCAGTGTTGATGCATCGGGGATCGTATTGGCTATTGGAAGGATCAAAGACACCAGGTGGCTCAGGCCTATACAAACCAATCCTTCTCAAAGAAATCCAAACTTGATGCGTAAATATCATGGCACACATGGCCACAGGACCGAAGACTGCAGGCAGCTACGGGAGGAGGTAGCTCGATTGTTCAAGGAGGGTCATCTTCGAGAATTTCTCAATGATCGAGCAAAGAACCACTTCAGAGAAAAGGACGCTAACAAAAAGAATGAGCAGGAAGAGCCGCAACATGTAATTCATATGATCGTTGGCGGTGTCGATGTTCCACATGGGCCTATATTCAAACATACCAAGGTGTCGATTACCGGAGAAAAACAAACTCGGAGTTATGTGCCCGAGGGCATCCTATCGTTCAATGACGAGGAAGCGGAAGGCATTTCTCAGCCGCACAATGACGCCCTGGTAATGTCTATTCTATTAAATAAAATTCAAGTTAAACGTGTTTTAGTGGATCCAGGTAGCTTAGCAAACATAATCAGATCGAGGGTCGTAGAGCAGCTCGGCCTATAGGACCAAATTGTACCCGCATCTCGAGTCTTAAACGGCTTCAACATGGCAAGTGAAACAACGAAGGGGGAGATAATCCTACCAGTAAACGTGGCCGGGACCATCCAAGATACAAAATTCCATGTCATTGAAGGCGACATGAGATATAACGCTCTACTCGGGAGGCCATGGATCCACAACACGAGGGCAGTACCCTTCAACCCTTCATCAGATAATGAAATTCCCAACAGTGGATGGTGCGAAAACAGTTTACGGAGAACAGCATGCTGCAAAGGAAATGTTTGCGGTTGATGAGGTTATACCAATACCAAAGTCTTCGGCCTCAGCCAAATAGCAATCACCATCCCCATCTTCGACCGAATCGGAGAAACAGGTAATCGAAGAAGAAGAGGAGGATTTCCTTACTCCTCGAACTTTCTTTGTTCCCAAAGAGTCAGATGCAACCAAGTCAACGATCGAGGAGCTAGAACAAGTCATACTGATCGAGTATATGCCCGAGAGAAAGGTATACTTAGGAACGGGGTTAACCCCTAAACTCAGGAAAAAACTCATTCAATTTCTTATCGATAATATGGATTGTTTTTCTTGGTCCTATTTAGATATGACAGGGATACCACTGGAAATAACAACACACTGGCTGAGCCTCGACCCTAGGTTCAAGCTAGTGAAGCAAAAAAGATGGCCCCAGTCCGAGGTGAAGCACGCATTCATAAAGAATGAGGTAGCTAAACTTCTTAAGATAGGGTCCATTCAGGAGGTAAAATATCCCGAGTGGTTAGCCAACGTAGTTGTAATCCCTAAAAAAGGGAACAAACTTAGAATGTGTGTAGATTATAAGGATTTGAACAAGGCAATGCCCTAAAGACTCCTTTCCACTGCCTAACATTGATCGCATGATCGATGCCACGCCCGACCACGAGATCCTCACCTTTCTCGATGACTACTCCGGGTACAATCAAATTCAGATGAACCTGGAGGACCAGGACTAGACCTGGTTTATCACTAAGTTTGGAACATACTATTACAAGGTAATGCCCTTAGGCTAAAAAATGCTGGAGCCACGTACCAACGCTTAGTTAACAAAATGTTCGAGAAACTGATAGATAAATCAATGGAAGTTTATATTGGCGATATGATGGTTAAGTCCCCGCACGCAGAGGACCATTTAACTCATTTGCAGGAAACATTCAAAATCTTGAGGAAGTACAACATGAAGCTTAACCCAGAAAAATGTACCTTCGGAGTCAGCTCGGGCAAGTTCCTCGGCTTCATGGTATCTAATCGGGGAATCAAGATCAACCCCGATAAGATCAAGGCTATCGAGGATATCACTATCGTGGATAGTGTGAAAGCCATGAAAAGGCTAACAAGATGAATAGCCGCCTTGGGTTGATTCATTTCAAGGTCATCAGATCGAAGCCACAGGTTCTTTTCCTTGTTCAAAAAGAAAAATAATTTCGCATGGACCCCGGAATTCCAACAAACATTCGAGGAATTGAAGCGATACTTGTCGAGCCCACCTCTGATTTACACTCCGAAGCTAGATGAAAGGCTTTACTTATATTTGGATGTGTCTGAGATAGCGGTAAGTGGAGTACTAGTTCCGGAAGGGCAAGGACGCAGTTCCCTGTCTATTACGTAAGTCGAACTCTAGGAGATGCTGAAACTAGATATCCACACTTAGGAAAATTGACACTTGCATTAATAAGCCCATCTAGAAAGTTAAAGCCATATTTTCAATGTCACCTCATATGTGTGTTAACCACTTATCCCCTTCGAGATGTTTTGCATAAGCTCGAGCTATCGGGCCGATTGGCCAAATGGGCCGTCGAACTTGGCGGGTACGATATCAAATATCAACCCCAAATGGCCATCAAGTCTCAA